GTCGTTGTTGTATTAAAAAAACAAGCACATAATTGATTTATTGCATCTTCCGAGAAGCGAGTCGCGAACGACAGGAGTTCATCCCTGGTTGCAGTCGAAAGGAAAGGGAAGATGAAACGACTTTATTGGAAGGTGGCCAAGAGTTCTTCCATCGAGCTTTTTTTTTCTAGCATACTAGTGGCAGACTTCGAAGATCATTGTGTACTCATACCGAAGAGGAGTTACTGTGATGTCGAGCAGCTTCTATGGTGTTTTTACGTAGTTTTTCGCATGTAAGCAAACATCATCAGCGTAGCTTTTTTTCAATCAAACTCTTCGTATATGTAACTATTTGTATTTTTTTTTGGAACAATCTAAGTATGTAATATTGAAGCATGAATAAAACCGAAACGAGTCATCCGCTCACTAGTGAATGCTAGAGGATATAACTCTTGGTAAGTCTAACAAGCTGCGTAGTCGAGGCGATCTATCAGAAGGAATTTTTTGAATAGATATAGAACTAACAAGCTGCGTAGTCGAGGCGATCTATCAGAAGGAATTAAATCTTTTATACTTACAAAGAGGCGAGTGAATAAGTATAATCATGCTCGTCAAAAAAAACATAATGGATCTCTCACGTCCTTCCCTTCTCTCACGTCCAACTCTTAGGGGAGGACAACTACGCCAGATAATTTCCATGCACAACTCGAAAAACTGAAATGACGTTGATGAGTAGAAGGTAAAAATGGTAAGTGGGGAGAATTAACACGACTACTTAAGTAAAGGGAACAGGTAGACCGCCAGCAGAGTTAACCATAACAAGTCTTCAACTTGTAGGAGGCCCGTGTTCTACTCACTCATACTTATAATTAAAGACCAGAACTCAGGGAGTACTTAAGTATACCACCTCTGGGGTCTGAGATCAGAAGTCTTGCACCAGTTACCGGACTACTCGCCTATCTCTTAGTTAGATCTAGATGTTATTTCTGTTTTTCGATTAGCAGAGAGGATGATCTATCAGAAGGAATATTCTAACTGCTATTTTTATAGAGGCGCTCAAAATAGCACTATGCTCGTGGAAATAAATAAGGTAAAGATCATCTCTCTCGTACATGGGAGGGAACAATAGATACAAAAAAGCAAGAACATCAGGAACCATCGAATTGAACAGGAAACCTTGAATCAGGAATCTTTGATGAGATCAATTCATGGATAAAAAGTTACAGTCTGTCTTGCGTAGCCGGCAGAGGCACGACTGCTGTGACACGGCCACGATAGCCTACATGAGAGGTCGCCGACGTCGCCCATGCATCTGTGTCTGTAAGTGACTGCGAGTGCGAGTCCTAAATATGGGATTAGAAAAGTAACCATGGATTTTGTCAGGCCGACTGAATCAGAATGCTCTCGTGATCCCCTGGGCCTTTCTTCTTAACATGTGAAATTCGAACTAGGTACTTTCTGCGCTGAGTAAATAGAGTTGTAAACAAGAAGAGTGAGTGTGAGTCTGGCATTATCTGGATCTGTTAAACAGTTTCTCTGAAGAGATGAAAAAGCAGTGGTACTTACATCAGTAGTCGCCATAAGTGAGAGTCTGTGAAATATTTTTGTTACAGAAGAGTGGCGAGAACGAAGTCATCCTCTGTTTCTGTCCTGAGAGTTCAGGGTTTTGATGTCTGATAATCTTCTGTGGAGTGACTGCCATTCTGTTGCTGATCGTGTCGTGAGTACGAGTAGAGAAAGTGATAATCTTCTGTGGAGTTAGTGCCATTCTGTTGCTGATCGTAGTACGAGTAGAGAAAGTGATGATCTTCTGTGGAGTTAGTGCCATTCTGTTTGTAGTCGTGATCATGTCCACCCGTGAGTACGGGTAGGTAGAGAAACAGTGAGGATCTGTGGAGGAGCAGTTTGTAAAATAATGTTGGATATCGTCGATGTTATTTTTATTCAACTAGAGTCGTTGGAGCGTTGGCGTTCGTTCGAGGACTTCGATATTATCGAGTGCGTGGCGTTTCAGTTTCTTCAACATATCCATACTCCTTCAACACTGGCTCCATCTCCAGATTCCCACGAATACCCATTTTCTCACTTTTCATAGAAAAGTCTGTTCATAGAAAAGTTTTTCAATTTCATAGAATACACAACAAGAATTTTCAAGGATACAACAACGACTGCTCCACTCCGAATCGACTAACACTAACATCATCATCAAGGATACAACGACGACTCCTTCTTGTAGTCCTTGCATCAACATCAGAAAAGGTACTAAGTAGCCTTCTGACTTTTCATCGTCGCAAAACCATCTTCAACAAGACCACATACCAAAAAGATGTCCGTCAAGCAGATCGTCCTCGGCGCCGCTGCCATCAGCAGCACTTCCGCTCTGCAGTTCACATCCAACAGTAATGGTTGGGGTGATGCTCGTGGCGTCAAGAAGTGCAGCAATGTTCTCGTTGATTTTTGGCAGGAGGCGTGGGATAAACATTTGGGCAGGAAAAACAACGCGGACGTCCCCGGCAAGGACGAGATTCAGAATTTCTACGCGGTCATGCGAGCGTCTAAAGAATGCGCGCAGGGTTAAGGCTCATCACTGTAAATTCGAAATCATTTTATGTAGATTCTTTCAAAGAAGAAATGGGTTGTTTTACTCGCTTATTCTAAATAGATTTCATTTTCAAAGAAGATGAAATCAATCGAAATTCAAACTGTTTTTGTGCTCGTCCTACTCCTGGTCTTCTAAAGAACGAAGGTGCCCAAGTCGAATGGAAAGGAGGTTAAGCCCGCTTACTTGAAGGCGGAAGCTCCCAAATTTCAGGGCAAGCTGAATGAAATCATGAAACTGGCCAAAGAGAAAAAGACGTTCAGCATTACGGGAGACAACTCATCATAGTACGTAAAAATAAGTAAAAATTCATCTCGAGTCGAGACAGGTTGTGGAGCCTTCTTCTAGTCTCACTCATCATAGGTATAGTCATAATTCATCTCCACAGAAGTATCTGGTAGCACGAGGACTAGCGCCATTTCATTTTCAACAACTATCTTGAACTGATAATATTTCACCTCGAATAGTTTCAGTCTCCTTCTTAGGATTCTGAGAGGGCTATGGATGTAATATTCGAAAACTAGAAATATTAACAGAGTTACTGACTCTGACTGAATCTGAAATAAGAAAGGTGCTATCTCAGAAAGGGCATCCTTTCTGCAGCACCTCGATTAAGTTCGAAA